GCGATAGCCCCACGGTGGGTGCCAATTGTCGTGGAATTATCACGTCAGATGTCCTAGTGAGAGGACTTAGTCGTGGAGCCATCGCGACTAGGTTAGCTTAGAGGAGTTAAACCGGACAAAGGACACGGGGAGTTTATACTGGTTCGGCCCCTTGTAGTGAAGGTAAAAGCCTACGATCCGGTTGTGGTGGAATTGATGGGGTCTCGGTAACCAGGGAGCGAATCCACTTTGCCTAGTTCTCGAGTTGTTGTTTCTTGTCCCAGAACCGCCGTCGGGTCGTCCCTTTATATACACAGGTTGACGCCCTGCGGTTTACAAAATCCCGAGGCCGGCTCATACATGTGTCCGGCTCGGTTTCTTCCTTTCTCTATCTTACAATACAAGTTACAAATCTCATGGCAGTTTATGTCTATGGGCCCTAATCCGCCCTTTGGCTCTGGGCCTTTTAGTCTCTGTAGTAAAGCACCATACTCTTTGTCTTCATGGGCTTCAATACGGATGATTCCTTGTGAGTATAATCCGGCCCCTCCTGGGCGGTTTATACTCAGTAGTTATATCCCCAACACTATGGTTCGATTTATTCTTAATACTTTTCTCATAGTTGCGAATGCTTGTGAGGGGGTTAATCATAAGTAGGAGGTTCGTTCAAGTAAGAACAGCACCTAAGCACCGGTCCACACACATATCAAATTATCAAAGTAGCGAACACAAATCAAACCAACATGATGAAAGTGACTACATGAAATTCCCATGTACCCTCAAGAACACCTTGCTTATCATAAGAGATTGTTTTGGCCTGTCCTTTGCCTCAAAAGGATTGGGCTACCTTGCTGCAATTTTGTTACCGTTACCGTTACTTGTCCATTACAAATTACCTTGCTATCAAACTACTCATTACTTATAATTTCAGTGCTTGCAGAGAATACCTTGCTGAAAACTACTTGTCATTTCCTTATTCTCCTTGTTGGGTTTGACACTCTTACTTATAGAAAGGACTATGATTGATCCCCTATACTTGTGGGTCATCACCGTACACGGGACCCCAGAGGTTTGGGTGACTCGGATGGCGTGCCGATGGTGCGGCTTGGACGGCACATCGGCGGCCTTTGAGCACCTCGACTAGGAGAAGCTGACGAGAGAGGAGCTGGGAGGGGAAGCATGGCGGAGATCGGGGAAGTCAATGGTAGGAGGAGATGGGAGGAAGGCATGGGAGAAGTGGTAGGGGAGGCGGCCGGCGGCTGTGGGGTAGGGGAGAGAGAAGAGAGGGATATGGATTGTGTGCCACCCATTGGATCTCGGGAAATCGAACGATTGGGAGCTCGCTCTGAGGGCGGGTTGATTTGACCAATCAGAATGCATACTTCTCCTCACGTAGGATCGCTCTCTGCTCCACCCAGCATGCCACGTCAGCATGAGCCATCTATGATGGTCCAGCTGGTCGATCCATGACGTTTTTGGTGATGGTTCCTCTATGGCCGTCATAAAGGGGCTACCGTTCCGTGGGCCGGTCTTTTTTTGCTGAATCATGACGATTTCTGTGACGAACTAGAGAACGTCACCGAAAATCCGTCATGAATTAACAGGTTTCTTGTAGTGTGTAGCACAGAACGACAACGCCATCGAGTATGAAGAGTTGTATTCCAACTCTAATTGTGGAGCTAAAGAGGACGGACTAGCGAGTTTATCCTGAACAAGCAAGACCACAATGATGGGGCGTTAGGCTCCCAGACTGTACCACCAAGCCAGCCCGAAGACGACATGAACATCTCCTCCCACTGAGATTGACATCTTGAGATTTACAAATTCATCATATATGCCTTCGTAGTCCACGGAAACGTCTCCTCTCACTAAATGAACATCGCCAGAAGCCTGGAATAAATCAAGAAAAGTGCGAGCACCAGTGCCAAGTCTAGGACTTGAACCCTGGTGGGCTGGTTCCACCATAAGGAATCTAATCATTTAAGTTACGCTCAGTTCGCTATTAAGGGCCTATCTGACTAAGAGGATTTTCATAGGAATAGTGGAGGCTACAAATCCTTAAGGGTTTCTTTGATTCAAAGGATTTTCATAGGATCTTTGAAGGATTAGAATCCTTAGGAATTTTTCCTACATTGATCGTTTGATTCGTAGGATTGAATCATGTAGGATTTTTTTCCTAAGGATTCATTTGTACTACATTTTACAGGAATTCTAATGTCCAATCCAACCTCTTGGAAGAAATCCTTTGTTTTCCCCGTGACACAATCAAACAAACTCAAATCCCATAGGGATCCAATGGACATGCCATTCCAATCCTACGATTTCCCTATTCCTGTGTTTTTGCAATCCTATGAATCAAAGAGGCCCTAAGAGTTTGTTCTATGTTGGTTCTTTGGTTCATACGATTGAACCCTATAGAAATTTTTCCTAAGAAATCCAGTACACTGCATTTCAAAGGAAAAACTACAGCCACTCTAACCTCATGCAAATAATCTTTGTTTTTTATATGATGCAATCAAACACACTTAGGTGGGAACAACATCGTATACTATCTGGGTGAACATGCATGGCACTGATATCATAGGTTTTTTTTGTTCTCATGTTGTGCCAATCTATCTATAAAGAAGGACTTAGAGCAACTCTAGCAGACCCCGGATCCCGCCCCAACCCATAAAATAACCGCCAAAATGCGGGTCGGGGCCGAAAAAGCATCCTGATCAGAACCCGCATCCCGCCCCGGCCCGCAAAAAGTTTTGCGGGGCACGGCAAATTCTCCGCCCCAACCAGGGAAAACGAGCCCCCCCCCTGCGGCTACGGTGCCCTGCATATAAGCGGAAGCGGTTGGTGGGGGGGCATTTCATCCCGCGCTTTCTCCCACCAACCACCTCTCCTCCCCCCTCGCGCCGCTACCGGCCGCCGCCCAAGATTCCAGTGAGAGCAGCCGGCAGGAGCACGCCAGAAGGCCTCCACGCGCACGAGGCCTCCCTTCCCTTCCTCCCTGCGTCGGCGGACCGCCGGATTTGCAGATATGCGGTGCTTCATCGCCGACCACCGGATTTGGCTTTTTACCGGCCGCCAGTTGCTGCCCCAGGCGATGGAGTGGTCGGGGAGCCTCTCCCGCAGCCCAGGCAAGGGCACATCACCACATGCAGGCGCGGGTTCGTCCGCCCGCCGCCGCCGAAGGTTTGCGGGCATGGACTCGTCCGGCCGTCCGCCGGGCTCGGTGCTCGCGCAGCGTCTTTGTGGCCTACCGATGCTGCTCATACAGTGCGACGACTGCCCGCGCCAAGTGCTGCGGCTCACTTCGGGCACGCCGAAGCACACCGGATGGGTGTTCTACAAATGCGAAAACGACGGGGTACGTGCACTTGCGGTAGCTCATTCCATAGCTCATTCTTAAGTTCAAGCACCGTAGCTCACTTCGAGATTGATCAATCTTTTGTGTAGGACGATGGATGCTCATTTTGGTTTTGGGAAGGCCAATACATTGATTTGTTGATAGAAAGAAACTTAATAGATGTTAGTGCACTCCTTAGTACAATCGAAGGCAATGATGCGGCTGCATGTGCAACTAGAGGGGAAGCAACGTCGACTTCTTCGAAGCCAAAGATGAAGAATGAAGAAAGCATCAACAATGAACAAAACAAGATCAAGAATCTACAGATCAACAATGAGTGCATGGAGAAGATATTGCTTCAACTAGTGGAAGCAATTATGGAAGTTGGAAATCTTCTGAAATGCATTCTTGTGGTTCTTGTTTTCTTTGGTTTTGCTATTCTAGCCAAGATTTGGTGATATATTTTGTATCTAAAGTTGTTGCAAAAGCAAATAAAAGCATTATGATAGATCAATCTAAGTTTTACGGGTCGGGACGAGCTGCGTCAGATTAGAACACGCATAAACCGGCCCATAAAAAAAGTATATTTCGCGAATATGTTTTTTTACGGGTCCATTATGCGGGGTCTGCATCTGTGCCAGCCCGCGCCGGCCCCCAAAAGTTGTTTTGCGCGAACTACAAATAAGTTATGCGGGTCGGCGGGATGCAGGGTCTCCTAGAGTTGCTCTTAGAGGCCAAAACACACAATGGGACAATGGTGCACATGCATCCGAATTGCAAAAGAAAAAGTAAAAATGGTCAAATATTTTTTGGAACTTCTTCAGAACACGCATTGTCTAGTGTATTACCCGCGTGTAAAGTTCCGCAACAAAACGACTCTCGTGGTGTTATGAACGGATAAAAATAAAACCGACACTATATTAAGCTTGCTATTGGTAACAATTTGCAAAATAAAAGGTTTGTAATTGTAATTTTGTCTTTTCCGCCAACAATGGCACACTTGTCCCGAACTTTACACATGAGTGATACACTAGACAACGCTTGTTCCGATAAAATTACAATTTACTAAAGGAATGAAATAAATCCGGAGTAATTTTCGGCCGTATTTATTGGTGTTACTCCAGATTTTACAAATCTGGAGTAATTTTCGTCATTGGTGTTACTCCAGATTTATTTTTCTTATAATTTTCGTCAGACGAGGTAAAAGCCGTCGCAATTCTTTTACCTCGGCTTGCTATTGGTGTTACTCCAGATTTATTGTAATTTGTATTATTTTTCTTATAATTTACTAAAGGAATGAAATAAATCTGGAGTAATTTTCGTCAGACGAGGTAAAAGCCGTCGCAGTCCGGTAGAATTTGAAACTCGCAATCCGGTAAATTTTGGAATTCGCATGCAGAAAAAGCTTCGTTGTGGGAGGAGCGGTGTGCAGCTCCCTGTAGCGACTGTCGTACGAAGCACGTGGAAACGCGAATACATATGGCTGTGGTTCCTCCTCCGCGGTCCCCTCTGCCGCTGCACCGCTCCGCCTGCCCGCCTGACTGCTACTGCTGCCGCCCTACACCTACACCTACACCTACACCCATCCGCCCCTCCTCCCCCACTTGACCCGGTGGTACCACTCGCCTCGTCTCGGAGCTCCCGCCTCGCCTCTCCTGCGCGCGCGGCGAGGGTACGGCCGGCCATGGCGTACCAGTACCACCACCAGGACCACGCGCTGGGGATGGACCCGGCGGCGGCGGCGGGGAACCCCGGCGGCGGCTTCGCGCCAGGCCTAGGCGCGGGCGGGTGGGAGAGGGAGAAGGCGGCCATCGAGGCGCACCCGCTGTACGAGCGGCTGCTGGAGGCGCACGTCGCCTGCCTCCGCGTCGCCACCCCCGTCGACCAGCTCCCCCGCATCGACGCGCAGGTCGCCGCGCGCGCCCCGCCGCCCGTGCCCCCCGCCGCCGCGCCCGCCGGCGGCGAGGAGCTCGACCTCTTCATGGTGAGCTGCTACCACCACCAGGCCTCCTCGCCTCACGCTCACGCCGCGTACGGACGCCCCGCGCCGGCTGGGCCGGGCTGCCCCGCGCGTGCTCTATGTTATGTGTAGTAGATTGACGCGGCGTGCGTGCGTGTGTGGTTCGAAAATTTGGGGATTGGATGGGATTTGGCGATGAAATTGCCCCGCTCGTGTTGGGACTGGGATTGGGATTTCAAACAGGCTAAGCCAGGTTACCTTTTTCTTCCAACGCACACAACATGTTTGATTGGTTGCGCCTGAGCTCATATGGGATTATTAGCACTCGCTAACCTCCGCCGGTGGATTTGGTTTAGGTTAGCTTCTTCAACTATGAGTATTATGCTAGTTCATCCCTTGATTGCTACCCATCCCACCTCCAAATAATTTACTGCGTGCTCTAGGCTCTAGCTGTGAGCAACTTTGTTTCCTCAACCACAAGCGCCTCACCTCTGCGATAGAGACAAAAGCAAACCCCAAAAAACAACTACAAGTGTCCCTTTGCTAGGCAAGCAGGGGCTCCTTCCTTTGCCTGGAAATGGCAATTCTCCTTGTGTAAAGGTTATTATCGACCACCTGCCTTTTTCTCTATATATGTGTTCTAAAGGTTCTGTTTTCCTTGTTGCAGACACACTATGTGCTGCTCCTCTGTTCCTTCAAGGAACAGCTCCAGCAGCATGTGCGCGTCCACGCCATGGAGGCGGTGATGGCCTGCTGGGAGCTCGAGCAAACTCTGCAGAGTCTTACAGGTACCATACATCATCTTAACTTCATCAGTTCAGCAGCAAGATATGTGCTTCTTAAATTCTCTAGGAAGAGGGTTTTACAACATGCTTATTAAGAGGTTGATAGTCACAGTAAGTATCATGCTACATGAGGGGCGCCGTTTCATAGGATCTCAACCACAGGGGAATTCTTTTTTAAAAGAAGGGATCCATTGCTTCTGCTCTCTGCATCCAGCGAGTACAAACATAACACAAATACTACCTCTGTACCAGAATATAAGAACTGCAAAAACGTCTTATATTTTGTTTTTCAACTCAACTAGAAAGAGCTCGATGACTGGCCATTTTCCTGTATTATTGCGCGTCGTGACAGAAAATATAGGTCATAATTCACACCCTTGTAGGTCCTATGAGATACTAGGTCCACCTTTATAGTAGTACCGGTTCCTTCTTATATATTATTATTAGTTACAAGAGTTGCAGACTTTGAGCTGTTGGACCTGGCTTCAAAGCTGTACCTTTTGAGATTTCAGTTCGGTGTATGTGGCAGTTATTCATGAACCTTGTGTTGCACCAACCATGCAACTGAACTGACAGTACCCTGCGTTCATAATCTTAGCTAAGCTGTCCTGATAAAGTCTCTCTTAATATGTCTACTGCAATTAGCTTCCACACGGAACAGTCACGGACTATATAAACGGGAACCATCACACAAGGGTTACCCTTTCAGATACTTTATGTTGCTTGTCAAAATGACATATAATCCATATAGGAAAAGAAGCCCCTTGCGTAGTGCAAAAAAAGTGTTGCATATCGAATAATGCTTCATCGTCAAAATGAACTGACATGGCTACAAAATTTCTGGTGGAATTGTACTTTACTTGAATTTAATTCATGGATATTGATTGTCTGCATATAGTACTGTTTTTAGTTCCTTTTGCTACGTCACATTTTCCACCATTCTGCCTATAGGCATCACGAGGCACACACCTATGAGAAAACCATGCCAATATCCAGTCACACTGGAAACTGGTGTCGCTGTGAAAACCAAAGGGAGTGATTTTTCTTTTTTTTTTGTTGACAATAGAACTTTGCATAATCTGTTTGTATGTGTAATCATCAATCAGTTTACGATGAGAGGCATATGCTTGAACATGGAAGTTTGCCTTCAGATAGTAATGAGAATTGTGTCAGAAAAAAAAATAGAGCAAGATTAAGCCTGGATAGGCTTAGTTATATATTGTACTGAAAAAAAAAACTAGAGCAAGAATAAGTACCTGCCAAGGCAAGACGCAATATAAATGTGACCAGGATAAGTTGGAGATTGGCCAGTTCTGAGTTTTGCTAATATCGATTCTTCCTATAGGGGCATCTCCTGGTGAAGGCACCGGGGCAACTATGTCCGATGACGAAGACAATCCGGTCGACAGTGAGAGCAACATGTTTGACGGGAACGATGTGTCAGATGGCATGGGCTTCGGAATGCTAACCGAGGGTGAGAGATCCTTGGTCGAGCGCGTGAGGCAAGAGCTGAAGCATGAGCTTAAACAGGTAAAACTCGCTGCCTTCCATTCTGTCAGCTGCCACTATGTTGGTGTCCAAACTGAACTGTAAACAAAATTATTTTCCTGACTTTGCAGGGGTATAGAGAAAAGCTTGTGGACATCAGGGAGGAGATACTGCGGAAGCGAAGAGCCGGAAAGCTCCCAGGGGACACGGCGTCTACCCTGAAAGCTTGGTGGCAAGCCCACGCCAAATGGCCGTACCCAACTGTATGTGACAGACATCCCGCATATACCGTCATCGCCAGCAACTTTGTCACCATTTTACATGCAATTCTTGTTGTGCTACTGATGAGCATCGCTGGTGGGTATTGCTAGGAGGAGGACAAGGCGCGGCTGGTGCAGGAGACGGGGCTGCAGCTGAAGCAGATCAACAACTGGTTCATCAACCAGCGCAAGCGGAACTGGCACAGCAACCCTACCTCGTCCTCGTCAGACAAGAGCAAGAGAAAAAGGTACGGCGATCGGCCCAAAAACAATCCTTCCATCACATGCTTGAAATCGCTCAGGTTTTCATTCCCTCTCTTTCATTCTCAAAAAAAAAAAAGGAACAATGCAGGTGAGGGCAACGCCGAGCAGTCCTGGTAGGGCGGGTGCGGTCGGTCGGAGAGCGAAGAACGAAGAACGAATGCCCCCATATATGTACATAGCGCTTCCATCTTGGAGAAGGCTTTGATACTGCTATTTATTGCTCGGGAGACGACGTCGGCCGCTATTCGCGCGCGGCGTCTCCCCGAGGACCCAACCATCTGTGTTCCCCAAAAAGAAAAAAAAACATGGTAGTAGTAATGTAATGCTGTAATGGAATTACCCGAGATGTGTACTAGGTGTTTTGTGGCGCCCCGGCGTCGCTGTGAGCGAGTGTGTACGGGCTGTTCCGTGGTGTGTGTGTCTGTGGATGATTGTTGCCGTGGGACTGGTGCAAGTGTCGTGTGATGTGGTATGTGTTGTGTGTGGGTGGGTGCTGTATATTTGCGTATCTCTATGTGTACTGACCGTGATGCGTTGTTTGTCCGTTTTATCTCTCTATATATTGTCCGTTGTTTGTCCGTTGGGCATCCCAGCTGGTGCGTCCCAGCCGAGAGATTTGGCACGCGGAGAGGAGGAAGATCCGCGATGGACATGGGGATGCACGAACCGGAGAAGGCTTGGTTTGCGGCGCTACCGGTACGACGATATCTCCGGCCGGATCCTCTCGCGCAGATCCGGGGAAGTTAACAAACGGAACCATCACATGCGCATCGTCCTCCTCGTCCCCCCGTCGTGGCACCCCCGCATGTGCCCCGGGCATGGGCGCCCCGGACTTCACTCGGCCGTGCAAAGTCAGCAGCATCCGAGATGGCATCGGCGGACACGGCTCCTCTGCCGTGCGCTAGGTGACGTTGGGCCGCTGACATGTGGGTCAGGTTTCCCACAGGCCCACATGTCAGTGGTAGAACGGCAGGCTGCCGAACGGTAGAGGATCCTCGCGCGGCATCGGCATGGGTGATCCACGAGACCCAGGCCACAGAATCAGCAGAAAACCAAGGATGGACGAGTAACAAGGGCCATAATAAGATTCTGAAAATGCAGGAATAGGAAAAGTACTTGATTCCTATGTAGGATTAGTAAAGAGTGTTTGATGCCACATGAAAGACAAAGAAACTCTAATAGAAGGTTAGAGTGGATGTTTACATTTCCTACGAAATGTAGCAAGTACTCTATAATATTTCATATGAAAAACCCCTATGGAATTCAATCCTATTACGAACCCAAGGGACGACATAAGAAAAATTCCCAAGGACTTCCAAGGAGCCCTAAGAAAAATACCCTATAGGATTTCTTTGAATCAAAGGAGCCCCAAGTAGAGCAGCCGCAGCTCTTTCAGGCAGAAAACAGAGGTTACAACATGCTGACAAGGTAATCAAATGACTGGACATATTTTTTTTCCTCACAGGATAATAAAACAAAACAACTGGACCCTTTTTACAGCGACACCGAACCATTTCGGCATACATCACAAACACACGAAAAACACAAGCATATACAAGCAACATAGGACCTCAACTGACAGTTCCCAAAACTTGTATTACCACCACCCACATTACACAACCAGTTCATCACCACATTCTTCAGACTGACCCGACCAACAGACCGACCGAACCGACGACTTCCAAACAACTCGATTATTACCCACAAGAAAAGGAAGGGAAGAAAATAAATAAAATATCGGACTCTCTATAACTGACAATAAGACTGGCTTATTCAGCGCGCCTCTAAGCCAAAGCCAAAGGGGAAGGGTATAAATGAATGAATACGGATCTGGGACAACGACCGACCGACACTTCTAGACACGGGGAGGCTGGGAGGGAGGGCTCATGATTTTATGATTACAAGGTATGAAACAATGAAGGGGTATGAACAGATAGATAGACACCCTAGGGACCGACCGACGCAACGAAAGAACGAAACCAACCATATATATAATATTTATATATATCAGCACCGGATTCCCTAAAATACGCAATATGCGAAGGAGAACTTGTCCAAGACGGATGGATGGATGGCCCCAGAAGTTTTCTCAAGACCGCTGCTGGCGCTACTAGGATTGCACCTTCTGGGACGCGGCCATGGCACGCAGCCTCACGGCGATCTGGGTGAAGCTTGGCCGTTCCGACGGTTCCGTCGCCCAGCATTGCTCCATCAGCGACCTCCACTCCGGGTCGCATGAGTCAGGCACCTGCGGCCGCAGAGTGTTGCTCACAATGCCACCTGACAGTTAAAACAACAGCTTACATCAGACTCTGACCATCCACTGCACAAGTAATTTCTACCGAGGGTATGGCTGATTGTGCACCCACCAATGATAACACCATAGTGCAAATCTGCATATGGTTCCTCTCCTGTGAGGAGTTCCCACAGGACAATCCCAAAGGAGAAGACATCAACCTGAGGGGAACATATCAACATTAGTGTGCAAGTTATATGTAAACCTGGATATAGCTATCTGAATTCGGACACGGAAGCAATATGAAGGGATTAGCAAACCTTTTCAGAGACCAGGCTGCTGCTTCCATTCAGAAGCTCTGGGGCCATCCATGGAAGCGTTCCCCTCACACCACCAGAGATGAGCGTCTGACACTTGACTTTTGAAAGCCCAAGATCACCAACCTGCATCATCCAAGAAAAATCAATGCAGATATATATAGAAAGAGAAATGGTGCTTAACTTAAATCATAAAAGATGCAAAATTGTTCGCATTCGCCGGTCGATCCAGTTTGATGACAGTTCACATGAGCAATATTTCATTCGCATGTGACAGCGCAAGAACTAAAAGGGAAGCCTTAGTTATCTATAGACTACAGATAATGTGGCATGGATGTTTAGTAGATCAGTAAAGATAACAAAATTCAGATGGCAAACAAATGATTCTTTGGTATACAAGGAGTTTATTGTTAGTAGCCATGCATTATTATACCACATGTTCCTTCCAGTGTCGACGGAATATGCCTTAAGTTTAGCTAAAATGATACCCGGACTAATCTAAATCAATTGTGTCTATTTTAAGGTGCAACACATCAATTGCACAAGCAACAGTCCATATGATTATCACAACAAAGCGCTGTGTATTCCAAGTATGAGGGGAGATTGATGCTAAAAATTATCAATAATACCTAATAATTTGAAAAGTCAATATAGACAGATTACCCAATATCAAACATGCAAAATATGATACAGAGGAGAAGAATCAATAGTCTAGCAATGAAGTGCAACAAGCCAGCAGTAGTACAAAACAGAATAATTGCAGTTCTTACCTTGCATATTGGACGCTGAGGATCCCTTAAATTAACAAGTAAATTGTCACTTTTGAGGTCAAAGTGCACAATGTTTTTGTTATGCAGATACTCCATTCCAAAAGCTGTGTCCATGGCAATAATTAGCCGTTTGCGTCGATCCAGGCTCCTGCACATGAAGAGAATATTAATCGGCTCAGCTTCATGTTGGATTATAAGTTCCAAGTTTTTAAGATGTGGCAGTTGATACATGAGAATTACTTCTAAAACATATGCTAGAATGCAGACATTTTTTTGTTTTGAGAAAAGGCCTGAGGCCCAGCTTTATTCAAAGCTTTGCAGACATATAAATAGTGGACGTACTTGGAATTCTTCAGCAAAGCCGTCCTAAGTGAGCCATTAACCATGTATTCTGTAACCGTTGCAATGGATCCCCCAGGCCCATCTAGAACAACGCCATAAAAGGCCACAACATTGGGGTGGTGCAGATCAGCAAGGTTAGATGCTTCATTCCAGAAGTCATTCCGCTGCAAACATTCAGGACATATCAGTACAAGGACAGGTATAAGCAAATAAAAGGAAATCTAAAATGTTATAATTATACCATTTTTTCTTGCTCAGATGGCTTCCCAGCAAAACATCTGTCATTGATTCTTTTTATTGCAACATCAGAGCCCCTCCATTTCCCATGATATACAGTTCCAAAAGTTCCAGAACCGAGTTCTTGGAGCTCTTCGAGGTCATCATTCTTTATAATCTGAAAACATGAACATGTGGTTGGTAAAAGAACATTACTTTGTAGTATTAAAGATGTGCATGATAAAAAAGATAAAGAGTTCCTGACTGTAACCTGAAGGCGTCCATGCTCATCTGTGACTGGTTGTCCTGAAACCCAATCTAGTGGTTTGCCCTTGCTAACCTGCACATTCCTCGTGTTAGGTTATTAAGTACTGAAGATGACATAAAACAGAACATATATGAACTTCTAAGGAATTCATCTAACCTCATTGGTGTGAGCTTGCCCGTCTACTTTATTAGTGACATTCCCAAGCCCTTCATTCAGCACAGGAGGTGGAGGCTCAAATGCGGCTAGACCATCCTCCATACCCAGCAAGTCTGGATTAGTGATACCATCACCTGCATTCATGAAAGACGGTAATAAGCATTCACAACTTATGACTCATAAAGCACATATACTGGCACAAGGTGTAATTGGAAGTATTGTTAATGATTGAACCTTTGACAAACTGAGCTTGTTCTGCATGTGTGTCTTTGTGATATGGTTGCTCCTCAGCCGGGATGTTCAAATCTGGCCCTTTGCAATTCAACAGAGAGTTTTGGGAATGGGGATCCTTTGAGCTGATGTTCTCCCTGCTTGCTACCCTCTTAGGTCTTGGTGGCAGCGCATGTACATTGCTGAACTGTTGACCAGGTAAACCAGACTCCTGGAGTTGCTCGACTGGAGCATGATTTGTCAGTGCTGGTGTCGGTAGTGGTACCTGAGCATTAGCGTTCGGAGGAGGAATGGATTCATGTGGAGCTTCCTTGTGATAAACTTCAGGCATAACATCCTTCTGCTCGCCCATTGGGTTAATAGTGGCTTTTGTATACGCAGGATCAACACCATAAGCCGATGGGGGCACACCCACATGCCCAATAGTAGCGGCAACATAACTGGGGTATGGTCCCCCAATGCTCACCATTTGCGGCGGCATATGGTTAACGTTGGCATGCTGGACATTATGCATATAAGGACTGGCCACCGAAGGCGGTGGCATTGATTCAGTTGGATGGGCCATCTTTGGCTCGCTGACATCAAAAAAGGTGTTGGTGTTGCTCTGAGAGTATTGTGACGTTGCATTCTGGGGTAAACCATTCTCAGCATACATCCTTTGTTCGGGATAGCGGGGCTCGTTAGGGTTTACCCGTAGTGAATCCATCATCCTGTCCACATTGGCCATATAGGTTGGCACAGCAGCAGGTGCCACTGAAGGCACATTATCACGGAGCACTTGTCCATCCTCCCGATGCCTAGAATTGCCACTTAAACTACCTTCGCCTTCAAGCGGATTATTGGGATTAGTTTGCCTCACTGGGTACTGAGCCATTCCATGGGGTGAAGGCATTTGATGCAGTATAGCTTGTTGATGAGAGCTATCAGAATGAACGGAATTTGGAGAGACCATCTCAGTAGGCATCATGGGGATATGGTTAAATCCATAAGTCGCCGGCACCTGCTGCGGTGGCAATTGCTGCTGCTGGTGCTGCTGCTGCACATAGACATGCTGATGAAAGCTCGCTGGATCGACGGGCATTGGGTTTGCAACGCCTTCCATCTTTGGTGCATACATCCTTTCCCTGTCAGGCTGCACTGGATGCATATGTGTGTACCCATAAGCCCCCATTTGAGAAGGTATTTGCCGCTCTCCCATCATGATCCTTGCCACATCTTCAGGCCGCAGGCTCATGAACACTGGTATTGGCTCAACCGGCGCCCCTCCACGCACATCGTTGGCATAGTCATTCATGACTGGATCGGAGTGGGCGTGAGGCAGAGCCTTGACACACATATTGCAGTCCTGAAACCAGGTCGCATTTTCTGGTGGCTGCTGATTCAGACCCTGCATAGCCTCTCTATGATCGTTCATGAACACTGGTGGCAGTGGTGGTAGCTGTGAGAGTGGCTGACGGTACCTTGCTGCCTCCGGATGTGGATGCGGATGCGGGTGTGGATGTGGATGGGGGCTTGGCTGAGGGGGCGCAGCACTCTCCTGCGGCTTCACCGGGACAGGGGCGGGAGCAGCATTGGTGAAGACATCAACAAGCAGCTGCTGAGGTTGCGGCGGAGCAGCAAAAGCCGATCTGGCGGCGTCGTAGGAGCAGGTGGAGGTGGGGGAGACAGCAGTCGGGGAGCCCCCGCCGCCGCCGCCGCCGCCGCCCCCTCCCCCTCCCCCTCCCCCTCCTCCAGAGGAAGGCACGGCCGGGGTAGGAGGGGGAGGCCCGCCGTCGGAGCACTGGGTGGACGACAGGCTGGCGGTGCTGTCCTTGCGCACAATGCCGTTGACGGCCTCGAGGTACCTGAGGCCGGCGTCGAAGCCGGCGGCGCCCTCGCCTCCCTCGTCCCCGGGCGCGGCCGCCTCCGAGACGGGGAAGATGAAGACCCGCAGCTTGGGGCTGGCGACGGCCAGCTTGTCGTACTCCTCCACCATGTTGTCGAGATCCTCGGGCGAGGAGACCGAGATGAGCGCGTCGAGGCCCTCGTCCGGGAGCTGGTACTTGACCGCGAAGTGCGGGCCCGTGGCGCCGCCGTAGGCGTCGGCGAGGCGGGCCAGCAGGTCCTGCAGCGCCACCCCGCGCGGCACGGACACGATCCGGGTGTCGCCGCCGGCGTACCGCAGCGTCCCGTCCCCGGGCCGCGGCAGGATGCGCCCGCCGAGGCTGCACAGCAGCTTCATCCGCTCCCCTCCTCCTCCCCCGCCCCCGCCGCCGCCGTCCTCGGCCATCCCGCCGCGGCGGCGCGGGTCCGCCCCCACTCCCCTCCCCCCTCCCCTCCTTCCCCGGATCTAACCCCGCAGGGCTCGGGCCGGGCCACAAACCAAACCCCCTCACCTCCACACCACCAGGAACCCTACCGCCGGCCGGATTCGGGG